AAACAAAAGTTACCAGTAAGGCATAACGTGCCTGTGGGCTGGTTAAGTATCTCATTTAGGATAATGCAAATCATGTTATGTGTATCACAAAGTATTTCTACTCTTCTCAATTGATCATAGAAAATTAGGTAGACTAGATACAAAAACCTTTATTGAACCAATGCAGCAGGCAGAGCATATGATAATCAGAGGTATGTAATGCCTCAGACATAATAACTGAAGCACATTCTCAGTGTGCTAATTAGATGAAAGGAGGAAATTCTCATTTATCTGCAGTGATATCATGACAAGTGTTTTCCATTGCTGTCTGTGACATATTAGGAAGAATGATGCACCTGCACATTACTGAAGTTATAGTTAGAATCAAATTTTTTTTCTTATTCTTGGAAAACAAACCAATAAGCGAGAACCAAACACTGTTGCATTCTCTGAATACTGCCAGTGTAGAAAATAGACCTTTACAGAGTCCTCTAACCCTTATAACATAGACAAACTTCTACAAACTGGGCTAACACAAGTGTGAAATTTATGCAGGTCAAAAGATGAACCCGGGTCTTACAGAGGTACAGTCTGAATTTTAAGTGGCTCTACCAAGGAAGGGATGTAGCATCTGCTGACCCAGAAATGGATACAGTTGCCTATCGAGTAATGACACTTGTTAGCCTGCAAGTGAATAGCAACTCTGACACTTTGGGAGGTCACATCTATCACCACAGTAGACTCTCAGGAAAGAAATCACTGAATGAGGGACTGCAGGGGGTGGCAAACGACAGAAGAGTTCTGGACAAGAGCCTCCACGTGTCTGTATGCTTCTGCCAGCAAGGATACTGTCTAAGAAAAATCCAGGATGGCTAACTACTGAGCAGAGTCTCACAATAAGCTCATGTTTTTCAGCATTGAGCACTAAACCACTTCAGTTACTAGTTGAAGCACCAACCAAGAAGTGCCTTTTCACTTGCAGCATTCCTTTGTTTCTTTACAGAAGTCTAAATCTTGACTGGTCTGATAAAATGGAACAGCATTGGATACTGTTCAGGATGCTGTGTATTCTTATTTTTCCCTCCCCTTGGGGAGTCCATCTGACAGGCAAGCATCTTCTCATCTGAAATCAGAGCCAGAACCCTGCTAAACAACTGGAAGTAGGTTCAGATACAGAATGCACTCAGAAAAGTTCAGAATGAGATCTCAACCTTATTTGGTTTGAAAAAGTTTAACTCCATATGGTATTAAAAGACTCAATTACAAACAAAAGCCCCAAGTCTCCATACACAGACACGTTTTAAGTGGGAGACTGCTAGCGTTCCCACTGCAAGCAGGGCAATGAAAAAGAGGCAAGGCCACGTTGCTCTACCTAGTCAGAGTGCTCAATAAAGATAAAGCAGAACTGAAAGTAAATGCAGCAAATCAACAGTAACTTTGCTGAAGGACTCTTAGTGCTTAGTTCAGTGCTTACAGTGTACCTGCAGCAGAAGGGATACGTAATGTAGATGAATGTTGAAAAAAATGCAAGTATCAGAACAAAGATAATTAATCATCCAATTTGAAATGATCACAATGGTTAACTGCAAACATAAAGGATACCTTTTTACTCCTAAAACCCTCATAAAGCTGTGCCACCATTTATGAAACATCACAATGAGATACTAGTTTTTAAAAACAAAATTGTATAACACCAAGCGCTCTTCTTTTTGTTGGATTGCACTCAGAGAACATGGTAACCATTTAAAAACCACCAGCTTCAGGACACAGTGGCACCTAAGATCACACTGTAATGGTACTGAGTATCACACAGAATCATGTCAAGAGAGAAAAAAATCAGGAATGTAAAGGTAAAAAAAAAATTAATGAAAGGTAAAAAGGAATTAAATAAGATCATATTGCACCACGTTACAAAAAGCAGCACGTTCAGGATTGTGAAAATCTTGAGCATCTACTGTAAAACTTACATAAGCAAAAACTATATCCTAAAATTGGGACTAAGTTTTAAAAGCAACGCCTTACAAAGAAGGCATTACTTTCAGAGCAGCCCTCGTACTTGCAAGGACTTCCTCTTATGCTGCATCAATTCTTAGTCTCGATCTGAGCATTTTATGAGACCTTGCTGAAGGCCTAACAGGAAATCCAGGTGAATTTTCATGAATATCAGCATTCATCTGCAGTATTGTTGACTCTTTGAAAGTACAGAAGGTCTGTGATATGATTAAGAAATTCTGCTTGCTATCCCCCAGTGCACAGTATTACACACATACATGTCCTTCACTAAATTTTCTGACCATTTGCACAGAGCAAATTTGTCTTTACTGACATTTTGTATTACTGTCATATGTTCTCTAAAAATAGATGCTTCTTTAGACACTTCACAGTTCTCTGGTGTTAAGGTGGCTTTGAGAGGTTATTATCAGAAGTGAAATTTCAATGTTGTATCCTAACTTTCAGTTACGTGCTGCATTTGTTTGCAGTGTGGGTGTCTGAGGTTGTTGTTTTTTTTTTTTCTTTTTCTTTGTTTTTTGCTGAATGCCTTTTTACTGGGTTGAAATTAAAAGAACTGTTCTTAAACGTTGGGGCCTGGGGCTTCACTGCTCTTTGTTTTCCTTAGGCTTGGACATGAAAGACCATTTTCATGTTAGCTTACAAGGGCTGTTTCAAAAGTAAATCCTCCTATTTTATGATGTTGGCCCACAAGGTTAGAGGCAGATATTGCTGGTATGGCAGTAGGGGCTGAACATTCCCACAGAAATTCCATTATGTTTTGTTGCTGTGTGACAGATGGCAGCAGAGGAGCAGTTGGACAAAATGGCGCCTGACATGGAAGGAAGCGCATGTGAAGCAAAGGTACATCACTGAATTCCTCCATCCAAAAAAAAAGAAAATGGCACCTACTGACATTCACTGACACTCACTGAATGTTTATGGAGACCAAACAGTGGAAGCAAGCACAGTGATGTGGTGACTGGTATGTTTCTGCAGTGACAGATGACTTGAAAGAAAAACCATATTCTGGACAGCTATGCACAACTGTAAAACCAGGAAATGAAGAGTTCTTGTTGATAACTAGTGAAAATGCATAGCTAAGGGTGGTGACCATGTTGAAAAACAGTATATTGTAGCTGAGAATTTGCTCTATCAAATAGTGTTGTGCTCTTTTTACATGTTGTACTTTCCATGGCAATATATGGTAGGCATTACATTCAGAGCAACCTAAAATACAGTTTTGAACTGTTTGAATAAAATTCTGGGGGAAAAGGTAAGCAGTATGATGAGTCTCCTTACTATGCTAAATGATTCTAATAAAGAGGAAGATCAACTGCAAAAAATTGCAGAACTTCAATGATGTATTGAGTGACTTGCTTGCCAAAAGACATGAAATAGAGGTAAATGTGAAGAGACTCATCTTGAAGAAGGAACCTTAAATATACCACACAGGCACTAAGGTGCCCATTGTTATAAGTAACATGTAAACATTAATTTAGTGCTCAGAGGAGGTTAAAAAAGCCAATCAAACATTAGAATTTATTATGAGGGCATTTTTATTCTAATGCATAATCCAAGATCTTCAAGCTAAACAACTTTGAACTGTCCCCACATCATTAGCACGACAGAAATGGAAGAAAAGTCACAAAAGGCACAATGAAGACACCAAAGCTCCAGAGAGCTTCTGTTTTCATAACAATTAATATAACAATTTGTGGACTTAGCAGGACAGGATTAAAGTTTATAAAGATGCATATTGCTGCAGAGTATTAACGGAGTCTGATTGTTTACTAATTCTTCCAACCAAAAAAGAAAAGGTAGAATGGGACTAAGATGCTACAATTCTGCAGTAGTAAAGAAGCACAAACCATGAAATTCAGCCATGGGCCTCCGCGCTACATGATGTTGTGAATACCAGAAGCTTGTGATACCAAGAGCAACAAGACAAATTCATGGAAGAAAAGGTCCACCCAGCACAGACTGGGGGGAAGGGAAAGGACAAGTTATGTGGTACTTCAAAGTCTTTTAGCTGGAAGGTGCTAGAGGCTGGGAAAGTACAACACAAGAATCATCTTAGAAGCTTGTCCTGCTCTTATACACTATGAGGCTGGCCTGCTCCTAGAAAGCAGATACTGGGTTAGATGACGTACTTTGAGACTGATCTTGTTTTCCTCTTATTGCAAATTACCTTGCATAGAGACATACAATGCTTGCATAATATTAGCTAGCAGCATAGGCTACAGTGAAAGAGAGAAAATAATTATGAAATTACTATTTCCTAAGAGTCAGAGCTTAATACAATGGTGGACTAATGTATATTTTGTAATGCAACAGTTGCTTTCAAATGATACTGGATCTAAAATAACTACTGGTGGTCCATTCAGAAAAAAAAACACCTTAAATATACAAACTTCTACTTTAGAAGTAGTCTGTACATTCAGAAATATTGTATAAATCCTGAACAAATGAAATCAATTACATACACCACCCCAACAACATTATACAAACGTGTCTGTGAGCTGAGTCAGCACAATGGTAAATCAACAGATTTCACAATTATTCCTGTGGATATCAACTAATATTTAACTGAAACGAAATTTTAAATCAATTACTTGTACTGTTTATTACAGAGATAAAGGAAATCACCTTACCTTCTTCTAGAGGGCCCTTATATAATCATGTTCTAAAAGAAAGTAACCTCCTTAACCAGCACTGCACTTTTCCCTAATAACTAGATTCAAAGGAAACACCAGTTCCCAGAAAACACAAAACATGATAATCCTGTTGAGAAAAAGCATTTCTAGAACTACTGGACACACTGATGTATTCTTTAGTACAATTAAAATCAGAAAAAATAATTTGGGGTTATTAAAACCGGAACAAACAGTAACAAACTTAGAAAAGATACTAAAATAATTCAGTTTCTGTTTTTATTACAGGGAAAGTACACTCTTAAATTCAAGATTAAAAGATTAACTATAGGAAAAGATGATATCAAATAAGCAGCATATTAAAAATAAGGTACCTACTTGTCAGTGATGCTCCTCCAAAGCTGTGCACCTGCAACAATGAGAACATAAGATGATTCTCAATGCACTAAAATAGAAACCACATATAGTTTTTTCTTCTTTATTTGTAGAAATGTGCAAATTTGGAATGAAATGACTAGGGAAGTCTTCAGTTAAAACCAGAGTGACGATTACCAGAAAACTTATATTTTTCCATAAACTTCACCTAGCAGTTTAAATATTAATGAATAGTTTCTAGCTACATTTTCACACTAAGTAGGAGATAACCAACACGACTCTTGCTTTACAACTACAAACTGACAATTACTTTCTACATTTCTTATGATCCTGTACTAATCTTGCCATCTAGTGGCTAGCTGGAATTGTTATCCTGGGAAGAATTTCTTTTGCTGTTTGGAGTGACAATTATTTTCAAAATCACTACAAGAAGAAATAATTCTACTTTATTTGTTCAATAACTATTCATGAAATTTGTGTTAAAAAAATAACAAAAAACACTGAAGGCAATGTATGTAAGTGGTGTAAAATAATCAATATGTGAATATAAGGCTGGGAAACAGAGGTCTTCCTGATTCACCTCTATGATGAATGGTTGAATAATCCCATTGAAATGAGTGCCAGATGAAGACAGGATGGTATTCCCATTCTGCCAGCTTGGCAAATATTGGTACATCATGCATTTGGTCAATATGAAAACATCAGTTAGCAGTAACAGCTAAAAGACAACTTGTGTAAATCACTACCTTCTGACTAGTGGGTTACTCAGTGTTAGAGGTAACTTATACAACACTGAGTCTAAAAATCTAATTATGATAAGTTTCTTAAGTTGTCCACTAAGTAAGCAGGTAGCAGAACAAAAATTAAGATTCTGGAGAAGGCAATGACAATGAACAATATTTCAAAAAAAATTTTTAGTAAGTGCTGTAACTTAGCAGGGAACTAATAGGCTGGTGAAGTCAAAAATGAAAAGACAGCATATTGCAGAGAAATACTGTGCATCTCTGATGCTTATTTCCTGCATTCCTTAACGATTTTTCAAACACCTTGCACTGGATTCAACATCAAAGAACAAACTATGTCACTTCAAAAGATGTTCCTAATAACATGAAGTACAAGAGATGGCAATAATTTTGCCAAAGAATTTTCAAAATGGTAATGAAATATGAGACAAAATAAATTAAAAACAAACAAACAACATAAAGAACAGACAATCAGCCAATAAACTATTAGTCTCTTTCAAACTTGGTAGTATTCACATAACAGTTTTTATGCACTGGAAACTGCAGTGGAAACTGGAGAAAAAAACTTTCACTTATTTCAACTGTGGAAAAAATAGGTCACTTTGCAACCTATTTCCAAAGTTGACCGATTCTTATTTGGTCTCCCAAACCTTCCAATAGTGATCTAGTACATAGTCAGAAGAGACAGGAATTTTTAGGGAAACAATGTAATTTCAGATCAAGCACCTGAGAGAAAAGAATGATTGTTAACTGATACTGGTTATATTCAAGCTGAAAGAAGTCTCATAGCACCCTGCTTATAAAATATAGAAGAACTTTATGGAAAATGGTAACAAATCATCATAGATTACATCTAATATTGCTGCAATAATCCTAGTATCATAATATTAAAGTAGATTTGATAATGTCCTAATATGCTATGAAACACAAGTGTTAAAGGAAGGAATTATCTCTATACTGCCTTACCTTTTATCCTAGATAACACCAAATCCTTTATTATCTGTAGAACTAGCAGTCCAAGTATTATGAGAGAGGTCAGATGATACAATCTCCAAGGGGTCAACGCAACAAACCTGGAACGTTAAGAAAAAAAACACTGAATTCCTGTGAACTGAATGGAATTACATATAAACTTACAGGTGTTGTTAGTATTGAAAATAAAAAGAGAAAATTGACTAATATGACATGAATCAAGTTCAGTTTCTTCCTGCAGTGCTTTCCTAGGAAGCAAACACTAAAAGCTCCAAGCACAACAGGCTCATTTAACCATACATTGAGTTTTTAGTAAATTTTTGTCCACACTTTTATCTAAGCACAGCTGAAATATACAAAGCAGATTATTTTCATTACTGCACAAGGTGCATTACTTTTAAAATCAATTTAGGTTTTATTAAGATAAACTGTTTTGGTTTTTTTAATTCACACACAGCAGAAGTTAAACATCATCTTGTGTTTCTTGCAGGACCTAACTTCACAGCAGATTCTTACACAAATGATTCTTTCAAATGTGAAAATGAAGTAAATCCATGTCATTCATAGCACAATACCCCAACTTGTCTTCAGAATGAGCTTTTGTGATTTTTGTTCTTCATTACAGAAAGTTTTTACAACATGCCTAGTTGAGTCAAACAGACCCAGATTCACAAGAGTCATTACATTACAATAATCATTACAATAATCTCATGCACTGCTGCCATGGCTCTCCAGGTGTCCACATTAGCACTTCTGTTTTACTGACAAATGGCATAACTTGCAGGAAAAAAAAGGATTTGATGCACAAAATAGTACTCAATTGAATGAAAAAAAAGCATTTTAACAGCTTGTTTCAAACACCTTACATCAGAGATCTGATAACAGTAATTATTTTTGAGCTTATCACAATCTTCTACAAGGTAAGACCAAAAATGATTAACTTCAAAACAAATACATAATGGAAGCTGAGAATAGCCAAAAATAATAAGCAGCCACTGTCCAGGACAGTAGATCAAATAAGAGTAACAACAAATAAGATCATATAAAGAATGAAAATGGTTTGTAAACAGGACAACTGGACACAAAACTAGTAGTTGTGGCAGCTTTTCTGCAGGAACGAGGGGGAAAAAAATGAAGTAGCAAGTATGGGGCACTGGAGGACCCCAAGGAAAACCCTCTGAACACTTGGTTTTTATACAAAGAAATTTGCCTTCTAGGAGTTTCTACACACATAGTTGTGGAAAACTGCTCTTATATTCCTTGCAGGCCTGAGAAAACTTGATTGGATCAAAGAAAATCTCCATGAAACTACTTTCCTTATTTAACACTATTCACAGAAACTCAGAAAGCCCAAGCATTTTGACCAGATCAGGATATGATCTCCTATACCAACAGATAAGCTCATTCTGAAAGTTATGTTCTGAATTGAACCATAAAAATATTCAAATTAAAAGAATATTCTACAAGGGAAAAAAAGTCTCAGATCAGTTACTCTACAATTTCAGTCAGCTCAAGAAAACCAGTAAAGATGTTTCTCAAGAAAACCAGTAAAGATGTTTAGAGAAAAATTTCACAGGTTCTTTTGTAACAGTCCACGCATAGCTCTCATTAAATCAAATAATAATCTTCATCCTTAAATATCCTTGATTCTGTTGAAGTTCAACTGCACTGAAGACTTTGTCTAATCTACTTCTTTTTTCTAAGCTTGCTGACAATGAAGGAGAAGGGGAGTTGTGATACCGTAGAGAAAAATGAATAATTTTTAACGTGATTTCTTCATTCGTAAGTAATGCAGACCTTTAAGTTGTACAGAATTAATACTACGACTATCGTATATGTTCTTCATGGTACTTGCTGATTAGCATTTTATAGGATTGAATAGCATGTTCTAACTTAACAGTTAATCCTGGGCAGTCCTCAGTGGTTGAAATACACCAATACTGGAGTTTATGCATGTGCACATTGATACACACACATTTTACTAGTTCTCAAATGTAAGAGAAGATGCTTACTACCTTCCAAAGAATACAGAGAGCGTTTGACCTACTTTACAGTCACAACTAAGCCATACTCATAGTTTCACTGCAATCACAGCTGTCACCTGCTGTTAAAAACAGTTGCACCAACATGGACAAGGATTAGCAAACAAGAATTAGCAAGGTAGCATCCTGTCTAAAAGATGTTTCCAAGTCATCTCATTCTACATTCTTGATACTACAGCCTTTCTGCTCCATAACTTCAGGGAAAAATATATGCGATCTACATGGAGCAGTTAACACAGTAGTCAAATGAGGTCCCCTCACTTACTTGGAGAACTTCAAATTGTTAAGGATTTCTGGTGTCTTAATGCTGTTGTCAATCTTTCCTCCATTTTTTCAGTACTTTTTATTTAGATCGCACCGTTCGTAACAAAAGCCATCTCATACAAACTCCCAGCCACCATGTGTCAGCCCTCAGGTGCTCCAGCAATACAGATTAGAAAAACTGTGAGCCATATGTCAGACAAGTCTGTGCCCTTAAGTCCCTTAGGGGTCAATGGCTGATAATGTTCTCCCTTGCTTTTTGGCATATGTCTACTCCCAGCTTATCGAAAGGTTAGTCCAACACACTGGGATCTGAAAACCACCTATTATGCTAATGGTGTAGGGATTCAAAATTCTTCAAGGAATTACCAACAAGAGGCATAGCAACCAGATTAACAAAAAGTCACAGTGGCACAGCAGTACTTTTACTTATGATTAGGAGTTAGTTCTTTTGGTGTTTTTCCTCCTCTTACTTTAATTAACAGAGTTTACTTGAATACTTTTAAAACATATACAAACCTGACAAAACTGAGAGGGTCCAGAACGACACCATCATATACTATACACAGTATATTTAAGGCCTTCACTCAAAGATTCAGATGCAGTCATCTGGTTTTAGGGCAGCTAGACATGCCTCAGATCTCTCACCTGGGCAACAGTGGTCTCACCTGTGAGACGTCCTCTGACTGACATTTAGAGCAGCCAAATGGAAGAGCTAATGGAGATAGTAAGCAGAAGGCAAATCACTGGGGAGTATGAACTCTAATATTTGATTAAGTAACCATCTGAGTAACTTGACCTAACTGGACTTATTTCCAGAAAGAAGTCAGACTAGTTGTCTTCCTGTTGTCTTCCCAACCTACAGTCTCCTATGACTCTACAAACAGGTGATTTACATGGTATCTTGTAGAAGCAACAGCTGATCTCCCTCCTGTGTCATTTTACAACGATGGTTTCTCAGTTTCTCACAGTAGTTCAGTAGCAACCTTGGACCCATCTTCTTTACAGCCTCCTGCAGATACTGGAAAACTGCTGATATGTTCCCCCAAAGCCTTCATTTTTTCCAGGCTGAAGAAACTGAAGTTTCTCAGTCTCTTATCATAGAATCATAGAACGGCCTGGCTTGAAAAGGACCACAGTGACCATCTAGTTTCAACCTCCCTGCTATGTGCAGGGTCGCCAACCAGCAGCCCAGGCTGCCCAGAGCCACATCCAGCCTGGCCTTGAATGCATCCAGGGATGGGGCATCCACAGCCTCCTTGGGCAACCTGTTCCAGTGTGTCTGTTCCTCTGTGTGAAAAACTTCCTCCTAATATCTAACCTAAACCTCCCCTGTCTCAATTTAAAACCATTCCCCCTTGTCCTATCACTATCCACCCTCATAAACAGCCGTTCCCACTCCTGTTTACATGCCCCTTCAAGTACTGGAAGGCCACAATGAGATGTCCCCAGATCCTTCTCCAAGCTAAACAAGCCCAGTTCCCTCAACCTTTCCTCATAGGAGTATTAAAGTAACTCTCATTGTAAGAAAGATTCCCAACTCAAGCTGTTGTCACTTGGCAGCCACCTGAAGAAGCTGCACAAAAGACAAAGACTGCTGAACCCTTCTACAGAATTAGGATTATTAGCTAAAAGTCACTAAGGCAAAGGATAAGAATTCAAATAGCTTATTCTCTCCACCCCAACTACAAGAAACAACATTTTTATCTTACATACAGGTCTAAATAAAAATGAGAACATGATTCTCTAAGCAAAAATATGATTTAAAAAACCCTTTCAAATAGTCTGCATTCAATTGTCATAGAGAAACTTGCTTATAAGTGGTAAATATGCAAGCAGAATGGTGATTTGGGAAATAGGATGAATAACAAAAGGCTCCACTGCAACGTTATCTCACACAGTCTGCAGGAAAATCTCCTGGTGGAAAGCAGTAGTTAGAACTATATTTGTGGCTTATACATCAGATTTACCTTAACCGATTCCATTCAGATAGGCATTTAAAATAAAAGCATTCAAAAGGAGGATGTTTAAGTGACCTGAACATCTTCTGAGTCTATAATGACATCAAATGCTACCATTACTTTAGTGAAAACAGGAGATGTTTCCATGAGTTAAAAGTATGTTGAATTAAACACAAAAATCAAAGAACCTGGCTTCCTTTATTCTTGTACAAACATGCCCAGATGACCTCAATTAACCTGTACTCTGGGAAAGTCCAGAACTCTTAATCCCATTTTCTCATGCAGTAGCAGCAGTTTGATGTTAAAAAATCCACCTCCACCACACTGCCCCAGATCTCCTTTTCTCTAATGCTCTCATTAGTCCTGTAACATCTCCCATGGAGCACAGCATATCCCCCTAGAACTTCTATTGTTCTCAGGATTACACTTGCTATTTTAAATGCCTTGTTATCTTGAGCTACAAATATATATATATATATAATTTCTCTCTCGACACAACTACTGTTGGAAGCAGAATGTCTTTGTGTCATGGGGGAACTACAAACCCAAGCCGTGTTGCAATTCTGCTTGCTTTAGGATTTCCATCTTCTGTAAAGTCCTCACCCTGGATTTGGTCCTTAATTATTCAGTAATGCTCGTTTTCCCTCAGCTCCTCAATTATCCTCCTTGATTTATTTTCTGATTGATCCTGTTTTCTGCTGAGTGGTTGAAAAAATACTGTCAAGTGGCCAGGTTTTTTATGTAACGCAGCCTGGCTCTTAAACAATGTCAATTTTTATTCCAGTAAACCAATCTCTCAGCCAAAACTATGTAAGTTGTCATGAAAAAGCTGTTGAGATAATGGTGCTTTTTTTCTTAATTAAATTGATTTAGCCTCCCATTCCACTTTACCTTTGAAGCCTTCTAAAATTTTAATAACAAGTTGGAAAAGGAAACATAAGCTTAAAGCTGTCCAACTGAAAACAAGTAGCCCCTACAATTCAATCCCAGCTTACATTGCTATCAGAACTTAACTTGAAAGCATGGGAAGCTTTTGGGAAAGCATCCGTTCAACAAGAAAATGTTTTGAAAACAGTTGAAACAGTTCTGAAAAAGCATAAGCTGAATTCAAGGCACGAGGAGTCCACCATCACTATCCACAGTTTCACAACCTGGACTCACCAAAAATCCAAAATCCAGAGATGTTTAAGTGAAAATAAAAGTCAAATTTAGATAGCCAATACAATTCATACACAATCTCTGAATTTCTTACTAATGGCAGCCTTCCAATACCTGAAGGAGGCCTACAGGAAGGATGGGGAGAGACTTTTTATAAGGGCAGGTAGTGACAGGATGAGAGGAAATGGCTTCAAACTGGAAGAGAGTGAATTTAGACTAGATATCACAAAGAAATTATTTTACTGTGAGGGTGGTGAGACACTGGAACAGGTTGTCGAGAGGGGCTGTGGATGCCCCATCCCTGGAAGCACTCAAGACCAGGCTGGATGGGGCTTTGAGCAACCTAGTCTACAGGGAGGTGTCCCTGCCTATAGCAGGGGGGTTAAAACTGGATGATCTTAAAGGTCCCTTCCAACCCAAACCATTCTATTATTCTATGATCTGGTGGCACGTTGGTAATACAGAGTGGCTTGGATGGGAAAAAACCCCACACCCCTTGTACAAGAAGTTCCAAGCGAATCATCACTAAGAAAAGCTCCACACAAACAGATGGGGGCAAACAACCCTTGGCCTGCCAGCCCCCAGGCAGTACCACTACACCGACTGAACAACACCAACCATCACCTCATCAGCCTCTTAGGAATAACATCACCAGCATAAAAATGCTTCCTGATACAAACAAGACCAAGAGGAAAGCTGTATTTTGTAAGCAGTGAGCTTCCTAAAATCTACCAGAGAATAAAAGTGAGATTCCCAAATCCACCAACTCCACCTTGCTTTAAAGGTAAGTTATCCATCAAGATGTAGCAGTGACAATATTTACAGTTTGCAGGCCAACTCTTGAAACAAATGCCTAGCCAGAACACTTTTCCTACTTCACAAGAATAAATTAAGGAATGAAAAAGTTGAGATCTCTCCACAGTAAGCACTGTCATTACCAAGCAGAGATTCCAAGTAAGAAACAATCCAATAGCAAGTCTCAAAGCAAGTTGTTATTAAAACACATCAAGAAAATAGATGACAGACTGGGAGAATAGAACAGAAAAATGGCACTATCCACGCTTCCCAATACACACAGAAGGTAATAATTTAGCTAAGATTCTAAACCAAAACCCAAGATTGACTGTTAATGTTTGTCTAAGATCAATCCTAAGACCGAAAGTTATCAGCTGGCAGCCTGACACTTCAGATGCCTGCACTAAACTTCTGGCACCAGCACAGAGCATGCCTGCTCTATGTATGCTATACGTATAAAATGGAAAAAAAAAAACACCCTTATTTTCTTATGTGGCATTTTGACTTTAGTTTATAAGCTACCTGCAGCAGAAGCAAAGCATACTGCATAAGTATTGGTCTGAAGTTCAGTGCAGTCTTTGCACAAGAAATCCCAGTAAACAAAAAAATGGCAGAGTAATTTGCAGTCCAAGAACATCCATCAGTCGCTATCAAGAACGATGTGCTTTATGCCTCGTTAAACAGTCCATGATGATTTCTTTACAATATTCAAAAATAAAGGAGCTTTGGAAAATATAGTGAAATTAAACTAGCAAATTTCTTGTACCACAAGAATGTTATTTGAGTAGTAAACATCAAAAATGCATTCATATACAGCATCTGGATGAAAGATTTCTCAGAGGGAAGAGATTACCATCAAACATAACTGAGGTTTTGTGATGAGACAGAGAAATTGCTAACCCTCAGCAACTCATACTGCAACAGTTTGTGCACAAAGGGTTCTGAATGACAAACATACATCCAAGAACTAGAGTAGCAGAGGAAAGACACTGTCCCCCCAGAATTAAATGGGTGGAAGGAAGGAGCCATAGCTACCGTTCCAACAGTTGGAAAGCACTGAAATTAAACTTCACCACCTGTTCCTCCTCCTTCCACTACCAATAATGCTGATACAACAAAAGAAGTCCCTGGCCATCCTTCTGCACTTCTCTCAATCTTGAGGAGCCCTTAATCTTGAGGAGAATCGAGGCCCTATGCCCTGAGAGCACAAGCACCTCTGCAGAGGGATGGGGGTATTCCAGGCACAGGACAGCAGCGCTGAGGCATTAACTGGCAGCGCTCCTCCAGCCCAGAGCACTGTCAGCACCGAGCGCTGTGAGGACAGGCTCTGCAGGCAGCTGGGCTCCACTCACACCCAACGCTGTGTTCTGGCTCGAGCTGAGTCACAGCAACCAGGCTGACCAGCTGGACTGGAGCTCCAGAGGAAAGCAGAGGCAGCAAGCACACTGTGCTGCAGATACATGATGCCAACACACTAAGGGAGAGAAATGCGAGACCAGATTTAAACCAGTGTTTAATTTTCAGTGTCAGCTTTCAGAAGTTTGCTGACAAGATCATTCCTGATGTTCTTCAGTCTCAAACCATAGAATTTTACTGCATAACTCCCCACTTTGTCTCTCAGCTTCCCTGGCATGAGGAATGAGCTTTCCAAGGAGGGACAGCAATATCACCAAAATAAAAGCAATCCTTCCACTGACTTCATTTCACCCTGACTCACTTTGACACTAAGAAAGTAGAGTAAGCTACAAATCCTGACAAAATAACTTCAATCACAAGTCACTTCCCAAGTTGCAGAAGGACCAGTGAGAGTTTCTGTACACATTATACACTGCATGCACTATACACGTAGACAAAAGAATAGCAAACAGGTTGTCCAGCAGCTAATACTCACTGAGGCACAGAAATGAAAGCAGTTAAACACCGCCCTTGATTTTATCAGAGCCAATTTCAAAGAAACATAAAGCATTATAACCCTCCGAATTGCTGTCAGAACAGGTGAGTTCTGAGAGCTAAACCACATAAATCTCCCAGTGAAAGGACTTACCAAGGGCACTTAAGAGCAAGACTGATAACAAAAGTCAACTTAGATTACACATCACACACATGCTGCTCCCAGGATTTGAGAAGATAAAGTGGTTTTGGAAATATCTGCACAGATAATTTTCTCGTGCAATGTAAAGCTTCAGAAAGTTCTCTTTGTGACCTGGATCACCACTAGGGTTATGGGGAACTAGGTGGAGTTTGCAGTTAATCCACTTATTTGCTTGTTCACCTCTTGTTCATTGGAGAGGAAAGAAGAAAACTCTAAGCACTGGAAACACAGTTCAAATTCACTTGAATCAGGATTCAAGTTGGAAGGGACCTCAAAGCTCACTCAGCCCCAACCCCATGCCATGGGCAGGTCTGCCAGCCACTGGGTCAGCCTGCCAGGGCCCCATCCAACCTGGCCTTGAGTGCCTCCAGGGGCACCACAGCTTCTATGGGCAGCTGTGTCAGGGCCTCACCGCCCTCTCAGTGAAAAACTTCCCTGACATCTAATCTAAGTTTCTCCTCTTTTACTTTTTAACTGCCACTATCTGCCCATGCCGGTCTCTCTCCCGTTTATCAGCTCCCTTCAAGTACTGGAAAGCTGTGACGAGGTCTCTTCTCCAAGCCATCACCCCTGGCTCCCTCAGCCTGTCCTTACAGGAGTCAGTCTGAGTCTCAGCTGTACCATTACATGGACTCCTAACACATAAACCTCTCTGAGGTCAGGGGAAATTTCTGAAGAAGCATCACAAAGAAAGGCAAGCGTTTTTTTTGTTTGTTTGTTTTTTCTATAGAAATAATCAGAAGACGTGATGCAAACGTAACAACAAAGCCACGTGAACGCCTGTGAATTCCCGACTTTTGTCAACCAAACGGCACCCTACTAGAAAAACTTTAGCTGGAAAGGCAGGCTTGGTGCTCCGCAGCAACATTCCCACTGCCTCCCCTCCACCAGGGCTGACCGGGCCGCCGACGGGGAGAAGCACACGCACCAAACCCAGCCCTGAGGGGAGGCGCCCCGCAGCAGCACGGCGCCGGCCGCCACAAGCGCACGGCAGCGGAGGCCCAGCGCTCAGCCGCAGCCGCTCCGCGAGCGGGACGGCGACGGCGCGGACGGGCCCTCGGAGACCCGGGGCGGGGATGAGGGCCGTGCTGTCCCCCGGCAGGGCGTCCCCCCGCGCCCGGCGCGCTCACCAGAAGAGCAGGTTGGCGCAGACGAAGCCGCCCAGGCTGTGGAGGGGCCGCTCCCAGCTCAGCGCCGCGGCGATGCAGCAGCCCACCGCCAGACCCGTCTCCCCGAGCAGAGCCGCCGCCCCGGCCCCGCCCGACACCTCTGCCGGGGCTGCATCCCGCGGGCTGTCCGGCCGCTCCCGCCCGCCGCCGTTCTCCCCGCCCGTCTCCGGCTGCCGCGGCCGCGCGGGCGCCGCGCTCGCCATGGCTGGGTGGCGGCGGCCGGGCCGGGCTGGGCTGGGCCGGGCCGGACCGGGCAGGGCGGGAGGCGGGGCGGAGCGGGACAGCCGATCCCTCCCCGCGCCCCCACCCCGATCGGCGGCGCTGACGTCACCGCGGCAGGTGTCACGAGGGGCTGCGCGTGCGCGTGGCAGGTGCACGGGGAGGGCGGGGCTGAGGGCGGCGCCTGGCGGTGGCGGGTGGCGGGTGGCTGTCAGCCGTCAGCCGCCAGCTGCCAACCGTCAGCCCGACGTACAGCCTGGGTCACACAGTCGTTTAGGTTGGAAAAGACCACCAAAATATCTAGTCCAACCATTAAATCATCCCCGCCGTGCCCGTGTCATATTTTCGTGTTTCCTGAACGCACCCAGGAGCAGTGACGCCACCACCTCCCTGTACAGCCCGTTCCCGGCTCTCACTGCTCTCTCTGAGAAGAAATTTTTCCTAATATCCAACCTGAACCTCCCCTGGCGCAACCTGAGGCCATTCCATCTTATTACACAGGAGAAGAGGCCAACTTCAAACCGCGGAGAGCGGAACTGCTGTGATACATCCCTTGAGCATCAATCGCTGAACAGGCAAAATGGGATTCAAAGAGCGTGCCTGTCAGCGTAAGCTGCATGAAATCTGGTAACTCATTAAGTACTTGGCTCCTGCAGCGAAAACTCACAGAAATACAGTAATTTTGGATTGCAGATTATCATCTATTTCAAGCTTAATCAGGTACACACCCTCCTTCACTTGACCAGTGCAGCGAAAGTAGCCCTGTTCACTTAGAGCTGAACGTACCTTTTCTTTTTCTGAGGTAAAGAAAGACAAAAGATTGAGGAGTTGGTTCAGCTGTCCTTGGCTGCGGGTTTCCAGATCTTCTGTGTGGTTTGAGCAGATGACCTTGGGAAGGAGTTCTGTTGCTTATGATTCCACATGCCCGTGAGTGTATGAAAGTGATTAGGTATTGTTTATGAAGGTCTGAGAGAGTAAAAGGAAAGAGGCAGGCTTTCCTTGTAACCCAACAACACATGGATGGAAAAGTAAGGCCTGGGAAGGAGCTTCAGCAAGGCTGGAGCAACAAATACTTTGTTGTTTTGCTTCAGTCTTTTGCTGATGGATGGAACTTTGCCCAAAAAAGACTTCATCAAGACAGCATGCCCTTCCAGTGCTGGCAAATAGGCAGCTGTATCATAGGGGTGCAGGCTGCTGCTTAGCTGCTGAGCTCTCTGATGCTGCTCCAGCACCTCCCCTGGTCTGTAGGGTGCAGTGGATGCCTGCAGATTCTGAATGTCTCTTTTGGCGAGTGAGAATAGAGGCAATTTTATGAGTATGTGGGAGTAAAAGTAGGGACCCCTGACAAGGAGGAAAAGCAGTTCTCCTTCTCTGAAGCCATTTTAGGATGATTTGTTGTGTGTGCCAAGCTGCTTGTTGTGGTTAATACTGTCTATAATACTATCAAACCTTCCCCAGCTTAGCCAGTAGCAGCTATCTTTCCCTTGCCAGCGTTCAGTTATTTTGGTATTGTGGGCTGACCTATTCAGGATCTAAGTCTAGCTGACTCCAAACAGCTATGAGATAAGCTGTGATAGAAGTCAGGTGTTCCCCATGCACTGTAAAGTGAGCGTGAGATAGTTAGCCACAGAAAGCACCCTTGGGTTAAAATATTTACATTTGAGTTTAACCAAAATTAGGCCTTAGTTTGTATTGAATTTGTGAAATGCTGATGAAGGTGTTATAGTCCTATGGCCCTAAGGATTACAGCCATGGCAGATTTTAGGTAAGTGACCCTGTCTGGTATTACATGCTTTTTAAAAAGATTGGAATATGATTGAATGCCTCTGCACTTAGACTTCACATCACTGTCCCTTTGATTAAATCAGACCCAAGGAGTTCAAGGATCCCCTGCTCCCCAGAAAACAGGGATGATGAAGGGTGTTTTCAGAGGGCAGGGCAGGCTATAGGTACACAACTCTTCCATATATTGATTAAACTTGCTTCTGTTCTGCACTACAGGCCTGTGCTTTCCTGACCTATGCCATAAAGGGTATGAATGGAAATTAGTGAAAAAGTCTTCCAGAATAGTTTCTGTTATTTAGCTAATGGAAAACATGCCTCATGTATTGATGGATGACAGCTTTTCTTTTCCACTGTTGATAGTTAGTGGTGTGATTTACATGACTGAGCTTGGTCTGATTTATGTGACTGAACTTACTGAAAGCACTCTGGTATAAACATCAGTGTGAGAGAAAAGATGGCTCATTCATTTGTGAAGCACTGCATTTTAGATGTTAAATGTGGCAGTAAATATGCTCTCTGGCCTTGATCTGTCTGTAGTTTGATGTTTTGACTGCTTGAGTTTAAAAGGTTTGTGTGCTATCTGTGCAGGAAAAAATCTAGGATTGGTACCCAGTGCACAGCTGCATACAGAATTAGAGTAGAGAGTGCAGTTCTGGTGTCAAGGACTGTGATGTAAATGATGGATGAAGCCTGAGGAGAAAGATTTCTAAATGGTTGCAGGAAAGGGGCTTACAGTTATCAAAGCCTTCTAATGCTTCTGAAATACGTCTGAAAATTCTGATGTCAGCATGGAGTAACAATGTTGATTTCAGGATACCAGCTCAAAATGATATGCAATAATCAAAAATATCTTCAGTGGAAAATGCATAGCTTGATATTTATAGACAAACTGACAGCATTTTTTGAGAAGTTTGAAGTTTAGCTCCTGAATATGTTTTTGTGCAGTGCAGTGAATTGTTCTGGATGCTGACCTACTAGGAGTTGCCTTTAGACCTGATGTATTGAAAATGATCTTTTTTGGGGGAAAAATGATACACAGAGTAATTTTTCTTTGTAACTAAAGTAGTTAGTCTTTCAACATTTGACAATAAACTAAATCCAAAGAAGACTCTGAATTCTTGCTGTCACAGTCAAATCCCATACTCAATGAATCTGATACTTTAAAAGCTTTGATGGCTATCTATCTTTTGCACTCTCTCTCCATTGTATGAGGTGTCAGTATGTTGTTGAATCACACATCCGGAAAAAGATATTGTGTGGAACTAAGGAGTGTTTCTGGTCTGATGTCAAGGTCAAAAAGGGTCTTTCCAGCTTAAATTGCTGCCCCATTAGGTAATCACAAATGTTTGTCACAACCAGTTATATAGATGATTTTAAAACAATGAAAGGACAAAAACAAGACACATCTTTAATTAAAAAAGAATGTTTATTAATGAGTGAAAGTATATTAAGTGTGCAGTCTGACAAAACATAAATGACTGAAGTTCATGTTTATCTCTCGAAATTATGAAAAATCGGAATCTAATCCAAATGACAAGGACAGATCTCTAGAGGTAAACAAGAACCTTGATATGCTACGCATACTGTTTAACATTGTTAAAAAATGACTTTTGAAAAGTCTGTTCTGTATTTTCCAGTTTGCTTCTTTTTAATAGCTATTAAGAATAGCTATTAATAGCTGAGAATTAATAGTTATTCTCAGAAACGAGGACAACAAAAATCAAACTACAGAACAACAGAGCACTTCAATGTTTTGTTCATCTCTTTCACTCTCTCTCAGCCTGTCTTCTGTTGTGACAGTACTTTGAACCAAACACAGCTTGTCTGTTTAGTAATTCCCTACTGAACTTCTCTTGCAAGTGCTCCTTGGATTTATGTTCTTGAATGCAACATTGTCGAGGAATTCCATAGGTCTGCCACCTGTTGTCTAGATTTACCTTTCCTTTCAAGCTTGCTTTCTGTTTGCTTTGTTTCATCACAGACTCAAACAGTAAGTTAGCTTGTAAGGAACATCTGGAAGACGTTTGGCCTGACCTTTCTCCCCACATGGATAATTACTCAAAACACCTTTGTAGTTGTTGATGTCAGGTTGCTTCATGTCATGCCCATATTTGTTCTGAATGTCTCCAAGGGTTGTAGATACTGCACAGGGCTCTGGGCTGCCTGCTTCAGTGTTTGGCCCCCTCATTGTGAAGAATCTTTTATTATCTATTCAAAATTTCTAATTCTGCAATCTTTGTTAATTACCTCTCTTTTATCTTCTGTGCACCCTCGAAGAGAAGGACTCTGACTCTCTCTGCTCTATGACCATACACAAGGTACTTGGCAGTAGATGCCCATGAACCAACTGCAAGGTCTTGCATCTGGCTTGATGCAATCTCAAGCACAGATACAAGTTAGGCAGAGAACGGCTTGACTGCAGCGCTGAGGAGAAGGATTTGGGAGAGTCAGTTGAAGAAAGATTCAACATGAGCTGGCAATGTGTGCTTACAGCCCAGAAGGCCAACTATATCCTGGGTTGCATTAAGAGAAACAAGGTGATTCTGCTTCTCCACTCTTGTGAGACCCCATCTGGAGTAATGTATCCAGTTCTGGGGCCCCCAACACAAGAAGGACATGGAGCTGTTGGGGCAGATTCAGAGGAGGGCCATGAAGATGATCAAAGGGCTGGAGAACCTCCCCTGCGAGGACAGGCTGAGAGAGCTGGGCCTTTTCAGCCTGGAGAAGGGAAGGCTCTGGGATGATCATATGATGACATTCCAGTACCTGAAGGGGCCTACAGGAAAGCTGGGGAGAGACTTATAAGGCCGTGTAGCAACAGGATGAGGAGAAATGGCTTTAAACTGGAAGAGGATAGATTTAGACTAGCTCTGTCAGGAAGAAATTCCTTAATATAAGGGTAGTGAGACTGAGATTTCAGGAAAAAATTCTTTACTGTGAGGATTGTTATGCACTGGAATTGGCTTCCCAGGGAGGTGGTTGAGTTACCATCCCTGAATTTGTTTAAAAACAGTTTGGATGTGGTGCTCGGGGACATGATTTAGTGGAGGGTTGTTAGAGTTAGGGTTAGGTTGCAGTTGGGCTTGATGATCCTTAAAGTCTTTTCAAACCTGACCCATTTTATGACTCTATGATTCTGTGATACACTGGAACAGGTTGCCTAGAGAGGTTGTGGAAGCACTCCTGGAATGCCTGGAAG